AAGCTAGAGCTTGTTAATATTTGCCAAACACCACAGGGCTCGATTAGGACAATTAAACATTAATAAAGTGAGCAACACAGCAATTAAGTGGCAAAATGAATCTTTTTTATGCTTGCAAATTGCATTAATTTTTGTGTGTGTGACTTTCTTCATATGGATGAAAATAGTTTTCCCAAAAGTAGATGTCTTTAAAAATATGAAGCCAGACATGCATCCGTGTGGAGAGAAGTATGCTGCTGTTTACAATAATTCATTTTCTCATATTAACTAAAGTCACCCAATAATTGGTTAGAAAAGCTTACTTTGAAAATCATGCCAGAGACTTGAAGTCTGTTTCAAGTAGTTTATCCAAAAATGAGTTTCCTGATTTACTGCTTGGAGGCAATCATGTTAAAAGCACATTGTTGGCATTAATCCTCAGTAAGGAGGAGGGGCCATGGATAAGCAAATTTTTGAGTAAGAAGTAAAAATCTATGTGATCACTCAGGAACACAAAACTCATCCTCTCTCACATACACCAATGCTGTTTATTCTCATGAGCTGAAAGAATGTCTGTGTAATACTCCTACCCATATTCACTACTTGAGACACCCAGCATGTACTTCTTATGGAGCAATGTAAACAACATTTTGTATTTTTTTTGCCTCAGAAATAGGAAAAAGACACTATCAATTATCCCCATAAACTTTCAAAAACTAAACCCTGTAGAGGAAGAGAGAACAACTAAATATGGCTCAATGGATAAAATCCTCAAAACAGACTCCAAATGGCTCAGTGATGGGTCACGGGTTTTCCCAGAGATATAAAAAAAACTACTTATTAAGCTGAATTACTAAAGAGAACCTAAATAAGAAGAAGTGATGATTAGGCTTTCAGGGAGGGAACTGGAAACCAAAGGAGCTAATGGGATGAGACTGCTCAGAATGGCACAAGAGGGCACACAAAGGTATGAGGGACCACAGAGATGGCGCCCACTTGGCAAGACCAAACAGGAGCTGCGGAGGAACAGAAACAAGTGGATGCTTTGAAACCAGTGGCCAGCATGGAGGCTCGAAGGAGGAAGAAAAAGATGGAGGCTGACCAGGGAGCAGCTCCTGCACCGCACATGTGCAGCAGATGAACATGATTTGGATAGCTATCTGTTTCAGAAGTGGGTCCTTAGAACATCTGGAGGAAAGTTCACGATTCTAGAGCAGCACTGTCCAATACAACAGCTATGACTTCATGTGGTGAAACATAAATTTAATTAATTAAAATGAAATGAAATAAACAATCCAGTCCTTGGTGACTCAAGCCACATTTCAATATGTCTTAAATAAGAAGTAGAATAATAATATATATTATCCTATATAATAAAGAGCTAATATGAAAATGGTCATCACACCCTCACGCCGTCATGCCGTAAAGGCTCAGACACTCAACACTGGGGAGAGAGGAATGGGGACCAGGCAGGCACAAATGAGCTCACAAGAGAGGAATGGAGACCAGCCAGGCACAAATGAGCTCGTGAGAGAGGAATTGGAGCATCCAGGCTGCAGCCCAGGAGAGGGAGAAGCCACACACCCCATGGTCCCGGGTGCCAGTGGCTGCGCCTGCAGCCCAGGAGAGGGACAAGCTGTCCACCCCACAGTCCCGGGCGCCAGCAGCTGGGGATGCAGCCTGGGAGAGGGACAAGCTTCCCGCCCCATGGTCCTGGGTGCCAGCGGCTGGGGCTGCGGCCTGGGAGAGGGACAAGCCTCCCGCCCTGCGGTCCCAGGCACCAGCAGCTGGGGCTGCAGCCTGGGAAAGGGACAAGCTGCCTGCCCCACAGTCTCAGGCACCAGTGGCTGCACCTGTGCAAGGGGCCCAGGAGAGGGACAAGCCACCTGCCCCGTGGTTCCCTGCGGCTGCGGCTGGCCTAGGCAAAGCCAGCTGGATCCTGGATGTCTGCGGCTGGCCAGAGGGAGTGAAGCCCGAATCCCGGGTGCAGGATGAGGCAGAGGTGGTTAAAGGTGATCAGGCAGGCAAGCAGAGGGGTTAAGGGCGACCAAGCAGGCAGGTAGGTGAGCGATTAGGAGCCAGTAGTCTTGGATTGTGAAAGGCAGTCAGACATCCTCTGAAGGGTCCTGGATTATAGAGGATGCAGGCTGGGCTGAGGGAACCCCCCCCCCACACACACACACCTGTGCACAAATTTCATGCACCAGGCCTATAGTTATAATATATTTAGCATTCCAGGTAAAAAGCAATTCATTATTTATAAATGTAGTTATCTGACAATTAATAAAAAGCTTAGTCTTAATCAAAAGACTAAATTTTCCCCTTGACTTTGTTTTGTATATTTTTTTTTTATTGATTTCAGAGAGGAAGGGAGAGGGAGAGAGAGATAGAAACATCAATGATTGAGAGAATCATCCATTGGCTGCCTGCTACATGCCCCCTACTGGGGATTGAGCCTGCAACTCAGGCATGTGCCCTTGACCGGAACTGAACCCAGGACCCTTCAGTCTGCAGGTGGATGCTCTATCTACTGAGTCAAACCAGCTAGGGCAGAAGAAAGATTTTTTTAAAAATCCTACATAATAAAGAGTTAATATGCTGATTAGACCAAACAGTAGAACGACCGTCCAGATGACCTTCCAGAAAAAGCCAGGGCTGCAAGGGCTGGCTGAGGCAGCTGGGGCTGTGAGGGCCGAGCTCCTTGCACGAATTTCGTGCATCAGGCCTCTAGTAAAAAATATTAGAGCTGATAATACCTTCATCCTCTGGTTTGATTCTCCAGAAATAACTTTGAGGTTATAGTCCCTGGGTTCAAAGGATGAAGGTTAAGGAGCAATTTCTTAGAAATCATTTACTCAACTTGGCATTTGTAAAGTTTCATTTAGATTTTCATAGAGATTTGGGAAATGAAGAACTTTTGAGGGGTGGAAATATCATAATCTATTTTCCTCATGGGCACTGTTGATTTTTAACTACTTTGTTTACTGATCCTAGATATTCAGATCTTCTATAAAGAATCCTATATAATAAAAGCCTAGGTGGCGTCATGTGTGACATCATCACAAGATGGCCGCCTTCACAAGATGGCCTGCACGAGAGGGCAGGTGGGAGCGACCAGGCTGACAGGGGAGGGCAGTTGGGGATGAACAGGCTGGCAAGGGAGGGCAATTGGGGGCAATCGGGCAGGCAAGGGAGCAGTTAGGCATCAATCAAGACAGCAGGGGAGTGGTTAGGGCATGATCAGGCAGGCAGGCAGGTGAGCAGTTAGGAGCCAGCAGTCCCAGATTGTGAGAGGGATGTCTGACTGCTGGCGGACAACCCCCGAGGGGTCGCAGATTGGAGAGGGTGCAGGCCTGGCTGAGGGACACACACCCCCATGCATGAATTTTGTGCACTGGGCCTTTAGTATTTATATAAACAGAACAAAATCTTCTTGAAAATGCATGTTACTAAAATCCACAGATTAAAATATATCAGATGTGATGCTGTAGTTAAGTAGATGTCACACAGAGTTTAAAGGTCAGTTTTTTTCTTTTTAAAAAAATATATTTTTATTGATTTTAGAGAGGAAGGGGGAAGGAGAGAGAGAGATAGAAACATCAATGACGAGAATCATTGATCAGCTGCCTCCTGCATGTCCCCTACTGGGGATTGAGCCCACAAACTCGTGCATGTGCCCTGACCGGTGACCAACTGGTTCATAGGTCAATGCTCAATCACTGAGCCACAGCGGCGGAGTGAAGGTCAGCCAGTTTCAATCCAAAGGGAAAGCTCAGGATATAGAAAGCCACCACTTATCTAACACAATAACCAGAGAGAGGCCCTGCACCAGGAATTACTGTGGAATGCATAAATCTTAGTGTTCTGCTGTTTGTAGATCATTGATCAAAAAATCTATGAATGACAACACTCAACCTTAAATAATGGCAGTCTGTAGGGGCAAAGGTCTTCTCTTTTAAAAATAACTTTAAATAAAAAGAAAAATCTTTTGTTCCTTTTCTAACAGGAAGACTTTGATGCTTTATTTAGAACAACAACAAAATGATACATTAATTCTCTACAACTAGTAACATCTTCAAAAGGTCAGAAAATAAAGCAAATAGATATATAGCTCTGAACCTGCTCTCAAAAAAGAAGAGCCACAAGAATATCCATGACTTAGAAATATGCTAGAACACACACACAGTGTTTCTTAACAAATAATGGTTAAAATGAATATATTTTAAAATGACCCTGGGAGTAACATACACTCAGCTTGGGAAGACTGATAATACTTGCATTGTCAAAGAAATGTTCAAAACCCTGATTTGGAAAAGAACTGCTCTCTTGGAGCATCATTACTTAAGAGACCATTGAGCTCTACTTCTTGACTAGCAATGGTAACATTCATTTCTTTTTCCATAATTGCAATTTATTTATTTTTCTTGTTTTGTTTTAAATCTTCATTGTTGAAAGTACTACATATGCCCCCCTCAAAGACCTTTTCTAGCCCACCCTTCATCCCAGGCCTTCATCACCCTATTATCTGTGTCCAATAAATTGTATATATGCATACAAGTTCTTCGGTTGATCTCTTCCCACCCAGTTACCCCTGCCTTTCTTCTGAGATTCTCAGAGGGTAACATTCATTTTAAGAAAGAAAAGTCTCAGTATGTGAGCATTACCACTTTCTGTTATCAATGCTTTTTATGTAAATGTTTAGTAGACTATCAATTCTTTTTAATTAATACAAATAAATCTTAATAATTCTAGTCTTTCAGTAAAATACAATAAACACTAAGTTATATAAAACAATAACATTTATTGAATTCTGGTTATTAGAACCTACTTCTTTTATCTAAGTAAAACACACAGTCAAATGTATTGAAGAGGAAATTGTGTTCTATTTGGCTAAAGTGACACAATGAACCAAGAATTCTGCCATGGTGTCCACATCTTCACTAGTAATTAATGAAAACAATTTAGCTAAAAATACTACATTTAAAAAACACAGATCTACAACTATACCATGCATACCATACCTTAGACAACTCCATGCCTGGTCCACACTGCTTGCAGGGAACACAATTTCCAAACCGATCCTTGAATTCTTGTTGTCTACAATCCCCAGTTTCACAAATCACTTTACATACCTGAAAAAAAAATGTTTCACAAAGCATTATATTAAAGTAAGTTAATTGCATTTTTTGCAAGGAAGAAATAATATCATCATATTAATTCCCATAATCACCGAATGTAAACACTAAGTCAGAGTGAGGCCAATTTAATTTTCACTTTAGGAATAAAAACTTTTTTGAATATGTAAGTGGGACAAATAAATCAATATGTCTGATTCTTTTCTGTACTCTCTGAATGAGGTTCCCTTTTTCTTGGAATTTGATACATTTCTGAGGACCCAAGGTAGAAAATGCCTTAAGAGCTGTTCTCTTTTTTAGGAGGATTATAAAAGAATAGTCATGCAGAGACCCAAGGTCCTTTGTAATCTCAAAAATTCTGATTTCCAAAACTATATTTTTGATCAAGAAATATAAGCATATTTAAGGATAATGAATTGACTAAATAAATAAATAAATGAAATTAATTAGTATAGCTATAGGAATTTTGCTATTATCCTTTACACATATCTGCCACCCAGTTTTGATGTAGAAATTTCAATCTTTTCAGGTAAACTGCATTTATTTAGAGATTGTCTTTCGATAACTTCTGACAATCTTGAGATCAGTAAAACTCTTGATGATGAAGATGACAATGGTAGCCAAATACTCTGAATGATTCAAATTAAAAGTACTATGTAAATATAAACTTATATGCTTACTGACTACCATTTAACCATTTAAATAGGACCTAATGATATACTTTGGTTCACAATATAGGACTTAAATAGAAAGATTATCTATTTTGGCAAAAACATAGGTTGTAAGTAATTTTCAAAATATAGCCTTTTTTTCTTATTTTATCTAAAAACAGTAAATTCACTTTATATACGATTATCCTACAAAATTGTGTTATTCTGTTTTCTTAACAGTATTTTGTGGGGAAAAAAAAACTGTCCGAAATAATAGAATTTCAGATTGGAGACAACATTCAGTTCAACCTTTCATCGTTAGCAGAAATGCCCTCAATGACATTCCTGACTATAATTTTGTTTTCCAAAATGAAAGCTAAAAACCTCTAGGAAGTACTGGGAGAACAGTGACTGCTGTTATGGAAAAAGCCTATCACACACAGGTGCACACTGAATTGTTTTTGATGGCTATAATAATGAGCAATTATTCAGTACAAATTACCTCCACCTTGTAGCAGAAATATCTGTAAGGATATCGGCAAACCTCCTTATATAAAAACAAAAACGGAACCTCCTGAGCAGGCAGAAGGGAGAGTTCATGGTGGAATTTAGGTCTACAACATGATTTGGGGCTAAAGGTCTAATAATCTCCTCCTGCCTCTCTTTACTGTCCTTGACTACCAATCTTAGAGGAGTTTGGTTTTATTTGGAGAGGTAAGAGATTCCCTCCCACTGCAAAGCAACTGCAATGGTTTTGAGAAAGACATTACCCAACCTCCTCCTTCATTCCAATGTTTCACTACCTCAACTGAAAGAAAGGAAGCTTTCCTTATATCTGCCTGAATCTCAGACTCTAAATGGACCCCATTTCCTCTTATTTTGTCTTCCAAGAAGACTTTGAGTACTGACTTCAGTATAAATAATTCTTTTCATAGTTGTAGATCATAATTATATCTTCAAACTAAATAAGTTTCAATTCTTTTGAACACCTTCATAGATCTTTTGTGTCAAGCTTTCAATCATGAAAATCCTCCATCTGTCCTTAATGCTTTTCGGAACCTAGAATATAAATAACTATATTAAAATAACAGAACTTTCAAAAATCAATTCTAAATACTTCACAGACTGTGTGAGTCATGGGCTCCAAGTCAGACTCTGTGGTCTTGTTAGGTGCTGTGAGAATGCTTGTAAACCCAAAGTAATAACTTTCATGGGGCTGCAAGTAAAAATAAGATATAATTTTGACAATTGTTACAAAAGTCCAGACTCAGGAGCAATCTTTGATATTAATTAAACATAACAATTATAAAATGCAATTTGAAAGCAAATTTTAAAATATGGAATCAGACATAGAAAACAGTTTGGGTACTATGTATATGAATTCTTCCACCACTCTCTTTTTTTATTTTTTATTGATATATATTTTTAGAGAGAGATGGAGAGGAAGAGAGAGAGAGAGAGAGAGCAAAACATCAATCAGCTCCTACATGTGCCCCAATCAGAGATCGAACCTGCAACGTGGGCATGTGCCCTGACCTGTAATCAAACCAGCGACCTTTGGGTACATGGGACGACACTCAACCAACTGAGCCACACCAACCAGGGCTCACCACATCCTTATGAAAGTAGAGTTGACTTACCAAATAGGCTAGTAAAGCTACAATGGTGAAAAATGTTTTCTCTTGTTCTAGTAGCACTTTTAAAGCCATGGTTCTTAATAAATGTACTTATTGTTGAAGAGTTCTAAAAGATAAGAAGATAACAGATAACATTCATAACAATTAGTGACTATGCTCTATATTTACTGTATAATGTTTATTATTTACTTATATATACACTAGTAATAGTATTTATGTTTTAAAAAGAATCATCTTTAAGAAGGTACAATAGGTATATAATATGCAATATTTAAAAATGTAACTTATTAGAGTTAACACTTTGTCTACATACACACCATATGCAAAATTCCTACTGGTTTTGAATTCTCAGGTCTTTATTTTCTACCCAAGCCTCCATAGTGTCCAATCTACTTCACCCAGTAGAGAATTGAATTTAAACAGTGAGTATGTAAACCTTCCATTCCATGGATTCAATCAGCACCAACAGGATAATAATAGTGATTAAAAAAACAATTAACACCTGCTAAGCACTATGTGCCAGGTACTATTTTCAGCATGTTAACTCATTTAATCTTTCAACTACTCCAGAAGATAGTTACTATTGTTATCCCCATTTTAGAGAGGGGAAACCGAGGCTCGGAGAGAGCTGAGTCACTTGCCCATGGTCACACTGCTAGTAAGAGGCAGAGCTGGATACAAATCCAGGTGGGTTGGCTCTAGTATCCCTGTGTCACTATACCTTGCAAAACAATCTGTTTGGATCTTTGACCTTACTACTTAAGTCCACTAAGAAGCAGACACAGATAACATTTGGCATTGTTTCCCAAACCAGTTCAGTGCAAATTATATACTAGCAGAAAAAAATATGCATTCATTTAAAAACATCTAACATAATTTACAAGTGATGAAATTGGAGGCATTTCAATAAAAGATAATCCAAACCTCTTTATCTTCACCAGAAATAATCTAAAATGTAGAAACAAAGGTAGAGCCAGAGCATAGCATGGGAGTAGACTTTTTTAAAATGAAAACTTATCTGGAGGCTCCACCTCTCAGGTAGAGAAACAAGGGTTCAGTTCCCCTTTAGGGTTGAATCTTTCAAAAATAACAGAGACCCAGAGCAAATAACCTGATTACTTAAAAAGAAACCATAGCAGAGATCCAGAACCGTGGGCCAAATAGCTCAAGAAAAACAATAACAATAACAAAACAAACAATAACAAAAGGAAGCAGAGTTGGGCAGGCTGATGTGTCAACTGCTATCCAAGCAGTGCACCTGGAGTGCGCCTGAACACAGCCTGGACACATACAACCCAGATGCTCATTTCAGCTGCCTGAGCAGATCCAATTATCAGGGCAATAAAAATATCATTTTTAAGTTTGTCAAATGAATGACTCATTTTTAGTGAACTCAAGCAGCTTTTATTGGTTTTCTGGCTTCTTGGCCATAGCCTTCCTTTCCCCTCTTGCATATCTCAAAATCATCCAGTAATTACCCAACCATGCAACTTGCTCCTTGTGTAGACACAGGATTGGGTTCAGAAGATAAAATCACATTCCATGAAAGGTATGCTGCAAGTTATCTTTCTCGACATGATCTCAAAATTTTTTTAATGTGCTAATTTTTAAAAGTAAAAAACAAACATAAAAATTATATGGAATTAAACTAATATGGAAAAGAGGATACACACACACACACACACACACACACACATATATATATACACACACACATATATATATGAGCATTTACACAAAATATGAGAAAAAATAAACTGACAGAGTCATTGCATACCATAATTGAGCAACTGGGTTGGACTGAATACTCTCCTGGTATCCTGTACTAATGACTGAGGAAAGAAGATAAATACAGTGGCATATTCTTGAAAAGGCAATTGACAGCAAGCTAGAAAGCATGATTTTGACTTCATAAAATGCACCTATTTTATATAAAAAATATTATCAATGGCTAGGTTCATATTTTGGCATTCTGGGTAAATTTTCCCCCTTTTACCTACATTTCTTTATAGTGTACTAGTATTTCATTAATAATAAAGGAAAAGCTAAGTGACATGGTCCTCCTTGAAAAGTTTATAAAAGAGGTAACAAGATAAAAACCATATAAACACTACCAAAGAAAGAAGAAAATTAGCCAAAACCGGTTTGACTCAGTGGATAGGGCGTCGGCCTGCGGACTGAAGGGTCCCAGGTTTGATTCCAGTCAAGGGCATGTACTTGGGTTGCAGGCACATCCCCAGTGGGAGATGTGCAGGAGGCAGCTGATCGATGTTTCTCTCTCATCGATGTTTCTAACTCTCTATCTCTCTCCCTTCCTCTCTGTAAAAAATCAATAAAATATATTTTAAAAAAAAGAAAGAAGAAAATTAAATAAAGTACTATGATTTTTGCATCACCAAGAGGTTTTTTAGATTATAAGGTAGAAAAATTAATAAAACTATACCTTATGTGCTGACTTCTATTGTTCTCCCAATACATGTGCTAAATTGAATAGTTTGATGGAAAATATAAAAGTAGCATTGCCTTGCCTAAATTTCCTGTATAGGTAGATTTGTCTGCACAAATTATCTTCTAAATTCCTTAGTTTTGCCCCTATGCCTTTAATAATCTCACTGGATGGCCTGCCAGTCTCACCACTGGTCACTCCTCTAATTGCCCATCCAGTTCAGCCCTCCCACCATACTCTTGCTTCTCCTGAATACCTGTGATCTTGCCCTCATGAACAGGCCCTCCTCGATCTGGAGAGCCTATCTCCTACTGAATCCCTACCAGAACCAGCCAACTGGAACCCTGCTGTCCATAACCAAGCACAGAGAATAGAGTTGCTCCCTATGGCTCTATAGCTCTTCTACATTCACATACAGTATTTATCATGTTGCACAGCAATTATGCTTATTTGTGTCTCAGTTTACTCACCAGATTATATGCTCTTTAAAATAGGGACTACACCTTATTACTCATTGTATTTTCAGTGTCTAGCATATAAGTGCTAGACATAAAAGTGCTCAATGAACATTTGGGAATTAAGTGAATGAAGAAGCACAAAACAAGGTAGACTATATTGTGGAAAACAAGTGAGATTTGGTTGCATATAACAGACTTAATTCATCTGTGGTGAATGGAATAAACATTCTAATATACATTTTTTATATAATCTTATTACCTCTTCAAGGCATTAAATAATACAGTAATCCTATATAATAAAGAGGTAATATGTAAATTGACCATCATGCCCTCACACAAGATGGCCACCCCCATGTGGTCACAAGATGACCACCCCCATG